TCCCAAGCCAACTCTTCACCAACGCACTTGGCCGGCCCTACAAAGTCATTTTAGAAGCTGAAAAGTGGATGGACCAGTGGCAGATTACTTAGCAGACCTGAGTATGCTGAATCTTAAACCAACAGAGGAAAATGCACGGAACTGTGGCATCATTACTTCCAGAACTTGGGATGGAGAGGACGGCTTAAATATGGAATTCAGGAAGGTCTGTGCAAAACTGATTTCTGGGTTCCAAGCTCCAGGGCTATTATATTTCCTTCAACGTGGCAGAAGCTGGGAATTTTTCTACCTGGATAGTGTAAGAGAGGATTTCTGAACTAGGAGATACCAGGTATAGATCAGAGAATTGGTGTCATACTGAAAATAAATGGATTAAGCGGCTGTATGCTGCCATACTGAATGCAGAATGCCAAGCACTGCAGCCTTCTTTCCCCAATGGGCTCATAGATGCTGCCAGACTGACCCATCCAGTCAGGAGAGAAAGGACTCCTTTGAGAAAATCTGACCCACTCCCAAAACACCTAAGGAGACCATCACTGAAATTCCCCAATGAGCAGCCCAGCCTTGCCACCCTACAGAGAAATGCAAAGACTACACGCCAACTCATTTGTTCTGGACTTTTAAATCCTCATGATTAATAATTAGCAGACACACACCTGAGGTTGATTAAAGCCTCTAATGTGCAAGATTGAGACCAAGACAAATAGGGAAAAACATAGTAACTTGGAAGACTTAGAATTGTATGAGAAGAAAAAAAATCTATACTATTTCACCTAAGATATTATACCAATGAAACATGCAAGGTGATACTTAAAAGGACATACAGAAAAATAAAAGTTCCAGGAAATTAAAAATATAATAGCAAAGCTGAAAAACTCAACAGAAGGGACTCAAAGATCGAGCTGAGTGAATCTCTGTGAAGGAATAGCAAAATGACAAAATAATGCCAGCATGAGATCAGAAACTGAGGGAACCGGTCCAGGGTGTCCAACATGTGAACAACTGAAGCTCCGTAAAGCGGGGGAGAACCCCACAGTTGTTGATCCAGTCCTTGCTGTCGCGACTCCCGGCCCTGTGTGTCCTCTCTCAGGCCTCCCAACCAAGATGTACCAATTGATAGGCAATGGTGAATACAGACTTTGCTACTTTTTTCTTAATCTGGAACTCTTCTAGAAAACAATGCTAGAAGGTAAAACCCAGTTAACTTCCTGTAGAGAAAGAATTCGAATTAGGGATTAACCCTTTCTCCTCCCAAGTGGGAAAGGAAACAGAAGATCCATCAAAGGAGAGGAGAGAGTCAAAGAAACCAAGAAAACCCCAGGAAATTCTCAGGAAAGTAGAGGAGAGAGAGGTACAAGGATGAGAGCTGGCACCAGACCAGGAGGGCGACGAGTCTGGTTTGGAATAGGGACTCCAGACAGAAATATTAAGAACTGTTAGCACCAAGATCTCTATGTTCATGGGAGGGGGGGGGGGGCTTAGCTAGGAACAGAAGGTCAAGGTGATCCTGGCCCAGATTCTTATTTCTAGGCTTGGCTTGACATGAGCTGATGAACTTGCTCTCCAGATTAGCTGGAGAAATCAGCACTTCATCTCACAGAGGTGTCTAGTTTTGACTTCTTCCTGAAATCCAGATGGCCATGGTGAGCATGAAAACAAAGCAGCAGCCGAAGCCACTGACCATATTTCTGCCAGATAATAAATGAGGCCCTGGCCACCCGCCCCGACTGTGGTGGCCCCGCTGGTCCCAGGGCTCATCCAAGACCTTGCTCACCAACCTCCCTAGAGGGGCTCTTATCAATTCTAGGGAAGCTGAGGTTCGCTCTGACCCACAGATCGCATTCCTTTCTCTGGCCGACTTTGTCTGACAGTGGCTATGTACTTCTCTCCACACACAGCAAAGTTTGTGCTTGATTCCTCATGTTTTCAAAGCTGAACACTACATTGTTTCATGGGCGCTCCAGCGGGGGTGAAAATAGAAAAGCAAGGACGCGATTAAACCACAAGTGAGTACAGCACCTACTTAAGCAGAAAAGGTGGAGAATTCAACCGGGGTGGGCATAGGCGGTTTCTAAGGAAGTGGTGGTGTTTTACTTCTTAAAGACAATACACTGTCCATTTTATTATTTTTAGCCTGCACATTTATATTGTATATGCTCTTCTGTATGTATGATACATTTCACAATTGGGGGAAAAACCATATGAACTCGTAATAGCAAGAAGAGCTGAAGGGGGAGCATCAAGAGGCCAGCGGCTACATTCTGAAAGGTACAAGCAAATGAAAGAGTATGGACAGATGAAATGAGGTCAAGGAAACTCACGGGCTAGAACACCCATAGAAAGGAGCCATGGAGAAGGTCTGACTACCCAGGGTCTGGACTTGGAGCCCCTCCCGTGAGAGGACTGTCATTTCAATGTCAGCCGTGCTCCCTGATGGTGTTACACTTGCTCTGTGCTGCACTCTGCACTTCCTTGGATTTCTCTCCATCGTTGGCTTCCATGACCCAGGTGGCCTTCTGCCCTGCCAGCCCCAGTTGGGGAGGGGCGAGGCAGCTCAGCTCTCCAGCACCAAACTCCAGCTGGCCAGCTGCTCTGCTCAGCCTCAGAGCTGTGTCTCAGCTGAGGAGAGGCCCAAGGCTTTGGGCCAGTGCTTGGCTCCTAATCCAAGCTCCTTCAGTTCCTGCTCCTAAGCATTAATGTCAAGGTCTCCTCCAGCTTCCTGAAAAGTCACGTGTCAAGGCTCCTGGAGCTAGGGTTTGCTCAGCCTCTTCAAGGCCAGGAATGAAGTCAGCATAGCTGTCTGCACAGGAAGGGGCCTCTGCAATCGTCTATTCTGCACTGTCTTTGGAGGCCCAGATGCCAAGTCCAAGGCCTCATGGCTGGAGGTAAAAGTCAGCACTGTCTTTCCAGAATGATCAGAGCCTGTGTCAGACAGACACCAACCTGGGGCAGAGTCAGGTGGCTGTGACCCCAAACCCCCACCCGATCTCAGCCTGGTTTAGAGACAAGCACGAATCCCATCTCAGGGCTGGTTGGCTGTGTAACCTGGGTTCTGCCGTGCAGGGTCTCAGTACATCCAGAAACAGTGTGTGATCTCAGCAATTTAATTGATCTACCATTTAAAAAAAGGTGTAGTGGTTTTTACCTCATAATTATGAAAGAAAAACAAGTTTCCCGTAAAAAATTTGAAAAATACAAAAAATCTAAAGAATAAAATTACTCATAATGCCACAAGTGCAAACTGGTTAGGTTCTGGCACCAAAACGGAACTCTAAAAAAAACCATTCCTAAAACAAGCAGCTCCCCTCCCCCATGTGCCACGTAGGTGACAAAATCAATGCAACAGCTGCTTCACTGAGAACAGCACCAGTCTGGGCTATCAGGGAAGTGTGGGCAGCCCTGTGGCTGGGTGCACGGAGGGCAGAAAGCTGTGTCCTGGGTCCCAGCCTGCTGCACTAGCCCCCACCTCCTCTCAGCTGTTACAGGCCGCATAGCTCTATGACTCCAGGGGCCACAGGTGAGGGAACAGTGCAGGTCCACAGTGGACTTTGCTCAGCAGGAAAGGACCAGGGAGGCACCACCAAGTCTGCCCCCTGGCCCGGCCACCGCAGCAGCATGAGGCTTTTCCAGAACACTCTCAAGCTCCTCCAAGCAAAAAAGAGCAGAAGAGGTGGGCTTATCTGCGGCCCAGGCCTCAGGGCATTTAATGAGGACAGCCCTGGCTTCCTGGCCACTTTCCCCAGCTTTCCTGCCACTCTGGAAGACGGGCTTTCACACCCAAGCAGGCTGCAGTGCTGGGTGGTATTGTGACACAACCCCCACACCCGGAGGGGTCCTCCTTAACCAGGGCCTGGGCTGGGCCTTGCCCCCTTGCAGACAGAGCCCTGGCTGAGAACACTGGGGGCCCCTGATGTCCGTCAATTCCCCTTTGCCTTTCAAGGCCCAGCCCAAACCTGCTGACCTGAATGTGAGCACCTGAGGGCAGGATCCGAGTCTTAACAAATCAGTCGCCTCGTTGCAACCACAACCCATGCTATGCTGGATAGACGGACAAATGGAAAGATGGGTGGACAGTCACATGGGAGGAAAAGGAGGGAGTCAGAGAGAGGCTGAAGCAGCAGGCAAAAGGGGCTATCACCACAGCAGGAGGGAGCCTCACACACCAGCCAGTTCCCATCTTGAATTTAGGAATAAAGGAAGGCTGAGGGAACAGGAAAAGATGGAAAACAAGTGAAATACAGGCATCTTCATCACAACAAGTTACAGAAATTGACCTTTATTTATTGTACTAAAGTCTGTTTAACTTTTGATACAAAGTAAGGTTTTAGTACAGAAAATCCCAGTCTGTCAGAACAGTACCTGTGCACACTGTACCATCACAGTCCCACTCTGTCTGCGACACAGAGAAACAGCCCAGAGGCTATGCGAGTAAGACCTCGAGACAGCCTACAGTTTGTCTGAGTTGTCTGAGCTAGAAAACTTGTACCTGTAAAACAAAGGGCAGCATTGAGGACTGAAACATGTCTCGTTTTGAACAACTGTGCAAGAAAATATATCCCTTTTTAAAAAAAATGTCAGTATGGCTAAACTACAGTCTAGTGTCTAGAATTACAAAGAATAAAATGAAATCAAAGATTTCTTGGTAGTAAAATGAAATGTCAGGAACAGTATTAAAATATAGATCCTACCCCAGTGACACTTACACGGAGCCTGGTACAGTACCTAGTATTAACAGGACAGGACGCACAGTTGAGGGAGGAACCACATCAAATCTTCAGCCAGAGACATCCAGCGTCAGAAGTGGAGAAAAAAAAAAAAACTCGAACAAAGACATCCTCATGGAGTACTGTTCATGCCGTGAGCACTATAGCCAAGACTAAAAGATCCCACTCTTTTTAGATTTTTGACAGTGACAACACTAATTATTATGCTTCCCCAAAACTCTCAAAGTTTGAAACACGAATGTTTTCATGTTCAACAGAGCTGATGTGTCTGCCCCACGCTAGAGTGTAAGGACTGCCCTGCAAACATTGCACTGATAAAGGCCATCGTATTTACAGAACCTAAGAGGACCCAATGGCATGCATCAGCCCTAACCGAACACCCTGCCCAGAACTAGCTGTGTCATCGTGAACCCATGAGGCTCTGACGGACCAGACAGAATGCTGAAATGATAAACACAGATGGAGAAGAAATGAGAGGACGTGGCAGGCAGGAGGGAAAGTCTGAGACAAGTGTGTTAAGACTGCCAAAACTGCTGCTGGCAAGTCGGCCCCACAAGGCACTGGTGTTGCCACCACAGAAGTCTAACCATCCGCGGTTGCGATGTCCTTCCAGGAGAGGTGCCATCGAGAGGCAGAAAGTTTGTCACAGCTCTCTGGTCCCACCAACAAGAACCTTCTACAGCAAAGCAGCCCCAATGAGGTTCCAGAGTTGTTTTGCCGAAAACAGGAACAAAACCAACACCAAAGCAACACAGGCAGGTCTACAGAGGGGTAGGGGCTGGGCACCGACAAAATGGGGCAGTTCAAGTAAACATAAACAACCAAATACTTAGAAAAGGCTTGTAAACTTGTGATCTGAAAGGTTCTCTTTGCAGCATCTCTGATCAGCTGGCTAAAGAAAGGTTGGTATTGAACCTCTCTATCAAAGTCTTTTGTGTTTGTTTTTTGTCTTAAAGCACACGTGTGAGAGGAAGGCAGTTCGCTGGGCTGGACCGGATCCCACTCGTCTGCGGCCCTCTGTCTCAAAGGAGGCACCTCTGGAGTCCTCGTTTGTGGATCCTTCCCCTTCACGCTTATATACAGACAAACTTCTATTTTTAGTCACTACAGAGCGGAGCCAGTTATTGACGCTGGCAGACAAGCTGCAGTCATTTCACAGCACAGCGTTCTCCTACAGCGGGCAGGCGGGAATCCACAGGACTTTATTCTGTTCTTGATTGACCATTGCCAAGATCTGAGTGCAAATGCTGGACAGGGCTCCTCCCTGGACGACCCCTGCAAGAGAGCCCCCCAAACACACACGTCACTAAGCTCAGAGGAAGGCCCCCGGTTTGAGGCAAATAAATACACCCTTTACCCTTTCTGTTTCTCTGCCTGTGCTGAGCTACGGCCCCACACTATTCCATCAGCAAGGAATTGGAGAAGAAAAAAAAATTACGAATTGAATGCAAATCGCTTTGGCATTTTTTCTGTCTCTCTGGTCAGCTGTTTAGTGTGATGCTGAAAATACGAGCTCACATGAAGGCTGGTATCAAATTCTACCAGGTGTCCCTACCCAGCCCATGGAAAAGGGGGCCAGGACTTAGCCACCCTGCATGACAAGCAGGATTGCCTAGGCTTGCAGTGGGGAGCCCAGCACTGCGGAAGGCCGTCTGGGGGGGTGTTGTGACGGTCCCATCCAAAGAAGCCTCCAGGAAACGGGATGGATTTAGAAGCTGCGCGTCCCATGGCCCAGAGGGACTTCCCAGCAAAGGCGACGACACGTTTCCAGCTAGGGCCCAGCCGTGCTTTGCAGGCTTTCACCACCACGGGTCCTGCAGACCCTAGACCAGGGTGCTCAGGGCGCCCCAGGGAGCAGGGCCAGTAGGAAAAGCGTGCCCAGGCTCCGTGCCACAAGGTATGTACAGAAACGGACGGGAGTGTTCAGAAACTGCTGTGGAAAGGTGTCAGAGTAATCTTATGTCTGTTGAATCTAATAAAAAGCCAAGGCTTGTATTTTGTAAGTTTTAGAGTTTTCAATTTTCATTTCTCTAGTAACTTAATGTATTTAACATATTGGTCTGTGATGGACTGGAGATTAAAACACATATACAGCGTGAGCAAGGGTGGTTTTGAGACCAACTATTGCATGAGAAGCACCAAAATAGATCCCAACACCCTCTACAAGTTAATTGAAATCATTGCCTCGGCCTCTTTGTGGCCACAGTGTTATTAGCCACCCTTACAGATGACTGATTTTATAGAAGAGGTTGAAAGCCGCCGAGTCAAATGACAGCCAGTAATGGGAGTCATGCTTCTTTTGGTTCAAAGACCAGAGATGGTGAGGACGCAGCTTTTCACCAAACGTCCAGGTAAAACTGTGCTGCCCTGGAGGGTGCTGGGGACAGACAGTCCCAGCCGCCACCACCGTGCTGCCCACCTGGGAACCCCGAAGCTATGCTACTTGGCACCTGTGCTGAGAGACAGACTTGCCACTGCACGTGTAAAAATCTGGGTGGACAAGGCCTGACCATGGCCTGAGGCCAAATGAGTGAACTTGACCTTTCAACCTGTACAATTTCTGCCATTGTCCTGTGCCTGCAGTCAGAACACCTGTAATGAAAGTGCTTACAACGGCATTCAGCAGGCTTCCAGGAAGCATGGGTATCACCACTCCTAACAAGGACACCTCTGGGACACCTGCTTCCACCCCTGTTGCCTGCTGCTCCTCTCCAGGACACACACCTACCTGTGAAGTACCTGCTGTACTCCTGTTCAATCTTCTGAGCCGTCTCAAACTGCTCTTTGGAATGTCTCTGAGTCACCTTGTCCTTCAGGTAGATGGGGTCTCTCTGCTCCCTGTCAGGACATCCAGGAAACCAGGCTGAGCCTCTCACCTCCCCAGGCCCCCGTCCTTCCTTCCTTTGTCCAGAGTAACAGGGATCTCCACTGCCACGGGGACCCCATATGCTCCCCCACCCCCCATATAGCACAACAACAGCTGCAGGCCCCACGGGGAGCTCCGGGCCGAGGGAGGAAGGGGTGCCTCAGTGCATACACATAGAGAGCAAATGCTTCAGCGGCCCCCGCGTGCAGGGACCAGAAGCCTGGAAACACAGAAATGCAAAATGGGGAGGAGCTTGATGATGAGCTACTGGTCCAACCAGCATGGAAACTAAAGCTCAGTGAAAGCAATGGTTTGTCCAAGTCACAAGCCTGCTCCTGACAGAGCTGGACCTGGCCCAGGCCACCTACTTTGTGTGTCATTGTTAGCACCAAACTGAGAGGCACGGGAAGGGGGAAGGGGTGATGGGGAGACGGAAGGGGTGCTCTGCAGACAGAGCTGGACATACCTGAGGAAGTGTGGCAGCGCCCTAACAGGGTGGAGAGGAGCTGGGAGGGGAGGGCTGTGCTGGGTTAACACGGCCTGACTCTGAACATGACACAGGGGCTGGAGGCAGAGGGTCATTCCCGTGCGTGCTGCCGATGTCAAGGCCAGCAGGTCCACCCTACCACCGTGGCTGCTGGCGCAAGCAGCCCAAGTCAGGCCCCGGGCAGAGCCCCAGCACCTACTTGATGTGCTTGGCGCTCTTATAGTGGATGAAGATGACGATGGGGTAGATGTGCATGTGGTGCAGCCGCTCGATGGCGTGGGGGCCGATGTCCAGGAGGCAGTGCCAGTTCTGAGAGGGACGGACAGGGAGTGAGTGGCAGGGGCAGGCTTTGGGGAGCCAGGCCTCGAGAACGCCGAAGCCCTTCTGGGAAACCTCCCACCTTTCTCTGCCACCGATGGGTCCCACGTCTCACCTCACACTGCTCTGCCTTACTCCACACGGTCCTACCCGTGAACAAGGAAGCAAGGCCGTCTTTCATGAAGACCACACATGAGAAACCATGGGGAAAGCTTACCCCCAAACTCTCCCCCACAAGCTATCAGCTCTGACGGGGTTGAGGCTGGGAGACAGGGCGAGAGGACTCTGCACGGCCACCTACGCACTCCCTTTCCTGCCTGTGCCCAGGCACAGGGAGCTTAAAACACTACTCCAGCCTGCCCTCAGACCTCACTTCTGTCAGGCTGAACAAATGAGAAGTCGCGGCTCTCAGCAGGGCCTGCGGCAGGTGGGGGAACTGTCTGTCCGTGTAGCTGTGACTGAAATGTGTATGGGGTCCCCTGAGCCTCCAGGCAGAGTGTGAGCCAAAGGCAGGCTGCAGACGCTGTGCCTACGGCGCTCCCCAATCTTCAAAAGGTCCAGTGGGGGCCCAACCACAAGCAGGCTTTCTAGTGGGTTGTTGGAAAAGTCATGACGTATTTTTCTGTTTTTCTTTGCAAAAATGCATCATGACTTTTCCGGCAACCCAATAGCTTCCTGGGGCACCCCCGACTGAAGCTCATCCACTCTAACTGGGCCGTCTACATCTACAACTGTGAGAGGTCAACTCCTTCGTGTAACAGGAGGAGCAAAGCCCACAGATACGAACTGACAGCCCAGGACGGATGGAGCCTGAGGACTCCCACACACTCGAGGGCTACCTTTCCAACATATGTCCCCACTTTTCCTCATGCTACCTGGCAAATGGACCCCAGAACATTCAAGAGCCTAAAGATGCACAGCAGTGGCTCTTAGCCCTCTCAGGGGCAGGGCCCTGATGGCAGCTGTGTGCCCTGTCCCCAGAATAAGGCACACATAAAGCTCTGCACATAAGCCCAGCAGATGCCTTCGGGACCCTGTTGCAGAATTCCCTGTGAGAGGCTCTTCCTAGAGTTCAAAGCTGTCGTCAGGCCCCCTCGGAGGGGAAGACGTGACCCATACACAGGGTGCTCCTACACGCCTGCCCTGGAGGAAGCCACGGGGCACACCCCAGGCAGGCTCGCACACCGGTGAGTTCACTGCCGGTCTGAGAGACGCGCAGGGCGCAGGCCCAAAGGCACGGGGCCCAAGGCCAAGGCTCAAACTGGCACCTAAGCCTCGGTCTGAAACAACGCGTACCTTCTCTGTAATCTCTTTTATGGAAGCCACTGTGGTCACATCAAAATGGCCGCTCCTCCGCTTGTAGTCGACAAACAGGCAGTCTTTGACGCCCCGTTCGATGGCCTGCTGGGAGGCCTTCATCACCTCTGCAAAGCAGACACAGGAATGAGGGTGCCCAGCACTGAGAGCCGCCGCGGCACGTTTTGGAGAAGAACGCTATGCAGAAGGGCCATAGGGAACCCAGGCCTGCTGTCCTCTCTGCTGGACAGACAACTAGAAGCCAGATGCGGATCTGACCCAAGTTAGGTGGGCTCTGAAACACCGTGGGGTCCAGCCCCGGGAGACACTGGACATGGACACAGAGGCAGGCGTGGAATAGGCCCCTTACCAAGGGGGCATCTGCAGAACTTGCCGGGCGCTTCATTCACCAACATTTCCTTCACCACATCCAGCAAAGGCCCCAGGATCAGGACGGGCCTCAGGGAGGTACAGTCGACTTTCTGGACCCGCTGATAGGCAAGGCTCGCCAAATCTGAGGGAGAGAGACAGGCAGTGTCACAGGATCCCGCCAGCAGTGGAGGGAATGCGAGTGGCCGGGGCGCACCGGTGTCCTGGCCTCGCTCACCCAGGCGGGCCCACCCCCTTCACAAGTCCAGAGCGAGGGAGAGTGACCGGCTCACCCCAACTTGCCTGCAACTTGCCCAGTTCTAGCAGGGAGAGTCCCGCGTGCCGGGCACACCAGGGCATGGTCACTCCTGGAGTCCGTCACAAGTGTCCCCCACTCCATGAACACCCAAGTCATTTCAGAGCTTCCTTCTGCTCCAGTTCTTCCTTATGTGTCTCCCGTCTACTCCTCCCACCCCCAATCCATTCTCTGCTCTCTAGATAGCCAACCTCTGAGGTGTGGCAGGTACCAGCCTCCCCTGTAGGTAGATGGTCATGTGACCCGGACCTGCCCAGGACGGTGAGCAGAGGGGAAGCTCCCACTTCCTCGCCCCCTTTCCCATGGGCTGAAATAGAGGACCAGCAGCCTGAGCCAGTTCTGAGCCTGCAGATGAGGACAGCCCTCAGGAGATGAGCCTGCAGATGAGGACAGCCCTCAAAAAGGCCTGGAAAATGTCCAGAACAGAGCTGCCTCCCTGGAATCACCCAGCAGCTCAGACCTGCAGATGGCAGAGGAATGCGCTTCCGGTCACGCTTCAGCCATGGTGACTTGGTCTCAGTTATAGCAGTCAAACCACTACCCCAGCTGTTGCATATAGTAAATCTCCCCTTCAACCAAAGAATAGAAAGAGACGGCCCAAAAACCAGCACAGATATCTTCTTGGCACCTTCCTGGTATCAGTCACTGAACTGGCATCTTAGGAACACCTTAAAGAGAGTTTAAAGCACAGTCCTTGCCATTACAAAGCTCACACTCTAACCAGTATCAGAAGACTCTAACCAATGTCATCAGACAGCACCACATGACAAACAAGACAACCATACAGAGTTGCCCAACAACTCCAGGCAACAGAACAAGCAATCCCAAGGAAGGGGAGGGTTAAACGAACACTAGGCTGGATCGGAGGAGGAAGAGGCCCCCGGAAAGGCCCAGGAGGGAAGCGGGATGGGAGATGCACTCCAGGCACAGCGTGGCAGGACGGTGGGCGATGGTGACAGGCTGGGGCAGAGCTGAGGTGAGGGGAAGGCAAGGTGGGCTTGGGAGGAAGGGCCAAGGAGAGGCTCGGCCTGGAAGTGGTATACGGGGGCACAGCTGTACAGCAAGGTGTGACGAGGAGAGGTGGGAAGAGTGGCCAGAAAGTGCGGCTTTAAGTAAACACAGGACAGTGCTAGGTGCAGCCTCAGCTTCACAAAGACCGAGCTGGAGGGCAGAATGGAGGGGGCAGTGAGCAGTCTCTCCTCCTCGCATATGTGTTTTTTAGGGTGACCTGATCTGTCGCTGACAAAGCAGGGGAGGGTCTAGTGGCCACATTCCTGTCCAGGAATGCCCACGCATTTCTGCCCTGAGGAGGCCCCAGGCAAAGAACTTCCTCCAAAAGGAATGAACACATCCCGCTTTTAAAAATCAGAACACTACACACAAAGCCAAACATCCTCTCTGACACCTCTTCTCCAGTCCTGGTCCCTCTGACACCTCTTCTCCAGTCCTGGTCCCCACCGCTTCCTCAGATTCCTCTATTATGAGCTGGAATTATATCCTTCCAATTGTTTGTTGATTCTTATATGCTCAAAAAGTTTTGAAAGTGTGTGTGTGTGTGTGTGTGTGTGTGTGTGTGTGTTCAACAGAAATGACATGATACTGTAATTATTATACAACTCCATTTTTCACTCAGTGCTGTTTCTGGAATGCATCCATGTTGATTCGTCCTGATCTCCTTTATTCCTTTTGAACATCCCACGCATGGACACATCACAGCCATTCCCTGTTTATAACATTAAGTCACTATTCCCTCAACATGCTTGAATAAGGATTAAGTGATAACTGTTAACATTCTGCACTGCGGGTAGTCAATTTAGAAGATTCCTGTACCTCCCCGAATAACTTGCTTCATCAGAAGTCCTCATAATTACAGAATCAGGGGCTAGAGACCACCTCACCAGTCACTGAATCCAACCAGAGTCAGGACCCCGAAAAATATAAAACGTCCCCATACTGGTCCATACACAGACAAACAAGAAATCTAGAAGTAGGGCCGGCCGAGGAGCGTGATGGTTAAGAACTGGTTTGGGACGCCAGAGGGCCCCGGTTCGGATCCCACATGTGAGGGCCAGTGACACTGCCCTCTACAGCTAAGATGCTGAACAACAGCTCAACCTGGAGCTGGGCTGCCGTGAGTCGCCAGCGACGGCGTAGGCTGCAGCCCCTGCTGCAGTGGGTTGCCATGGGCTACCGTGTGTAGCCAGCAGCCAGCGTGAGCGGCCAGCAGCCGCCGTGAGCGGCCGGCAGCCGCCGTGAGCGACTATCCAGAAGCCGGCAACTGATCTGCCTCGCCCGGGAAGAGCGCAATGATGGTGCCAACTTGGGCCAGTGAAGCAACGTCCTCCACAACTAGACTGAAGAACTAAAGGACAGCAACTTGTCTGTTCCCCTTCCCCCAATTCCCCAGCGCTGTGCCCATCCCCCAATTCCTCAATAAAAATCTTTTTAAAAAAAAAATCTAGAAGTAATGTGACAGAGATGCATCAATCACTGTTAAAACTAGTATTGATATTAAAAATCAAAAGCATAAAGTAATGATAAGTCTATTCTGATGAACACATAATAAAAAAGCAACAGGAAACTGGTGTCATTAATAACAAAGTAAAGGGGGGCAAAGATGGAAAGCAGAGTTTTTATGTGAGATTGAAATTATCAGTTTAAAATGAACTGCTGTGACTTTAAGATGTTTTATGTAGCTGCAATGATAACCACAAAGAAAATAATTATAAAATATACACAAAGGGAAATGAGAAAACAAAAACATATCACTACAAAAAAATGAATGAAACAAAAAAGGAAATAAAAGGGGAAAAGATGGACAAAAAAGCTACAAGACTTACAGAAAACAAAATGGCAATAGTAATTCCTTCTGTATCAGTAATGAGTTAAAATGTAAATGGATTAAATGCCCCAATTAAAAGACACAGATCAGCTGAACAGATTTTAAAAAAAGACCCAACTATATGCTGTCTACAAAAGCTTCACTATAGATCTAAGGACACACACAGGTTAAACATAAAAAGATAGAAAGAAGATGTTTCCTGCAAATTGGAACATAAAGAGAGCAGGAGTGGCCATAGTTATCAGACAAAATAGACCAGCGGTTCTCAACCTGTGGGTCGCGACCCCTTTGGGGGTCGAACGACCCTTTCACAGGGGTCGCCTAAGACCATCGAAAACAAAAAGATGTTTACATGACGATTCATAACAGTAGCAAAATTACAGTTATAGAGTAGCAACGAAAATAATTTTATGGTTGGGGGTCATCACAACATGAGGAATTGTATTAAGGGGTCGCGGCATTAGGAAGGTTGAGAACCGCTGAAATAGACTTTAAAACAAAAACTGTCACAAGCGACCAAGAAAGACATTCATTATATAACAATAAAAGAGTCAATTCTCCAGAAAGATACAATTTTAAGTATATATGCACTTAACATTAGCGCCCCCAAATAAGTGAAGCGAACATTAACAGAACTGTACAGGTGTGGCTGTGAACAAAAACCAACTCCATATTTGTGTCCCAGATGTGACCTTTAACCAACCTTACTGTCCTTAGCAAGCATACCAAAGCCTTGTAGTTGATAACTGTCTGTGTTCCTGAAACTTACACAATGCAGCTATAAATATTTTTATTAGTAATGGCTAGGAATGGCATGACAACTGAGATAGATATCATAATTGATGATAGTATTGATCATAAACAACCACCCAGCACCAAGACCACCAGGAGTTATGGCCCCTTGGCACATGCTGCATTCTTAGTCCTTTTGTCTTGTTAATCATCAGTGCCTGAGTTATACTCTTAAAAAAGTACTGTAATAGGAGTCTGTTAGTGGAGAATAACTGCACAGATTGCTGGGTCTGTCTGCTCCAACTCTACATCCTTGTAAGTAAATTATCCTATAATAAATTCTGTTATAATCTATGGAGTTGCCTGCATTGTTCTTTGTTTGGGGTTAAGATACCTTCTTCTTATTACAGTGGCCATTACACCTTTGCCCCACCATTGGACACAGAAGCTAAGGGAAAAATAAACAGCAACACAATAATAATAGTAGTAAGGGACTTCCATACCTCATTCTCAGTTATGAATAGAACCAGACAGAAGATCAATAAGAAACACAGCTCTTGAACCACACTGTAGACCAAATGGACCTAACAGACACATATATAATACTTCACCCAAGAACAGAATACATCTTCTTTTCAAGTGCATATAGAACATTCTCCAAGAGAGACCACATGTTAGGTCACAAAACAAGTCTTAACAAATTTAAGAAGATTGAAATCATACAAAGTATCTTCTCTGACCACAATGGAATGAAACTAGAAATCAACAGCAGAAGGAAAGCAGGAAAATTCACAAATATGCGCAAAAATAAACAATTCCCTAACAACCAATGGGTCAAAGAAAAAATATCAAGGCAATTTAGAAAATATCCAGAGACAAACAAAAACAAAAACACAGTATACCAAAATTTATGGGATACAACAAAAGCAGTACTAAGAGGGAAGTTTCTATCAGTAAACACTGACACTGAAAAAAAGGAAGATCAACAACCTAACTTTACACATGTGAAGGAACTAGGAAAAGAGCATACTAAACCCTAAATTAGCAGAAGGAAGGAAATAATAAACAGCAGAGATAAATGAAACAGAGAATAGACAATTAGAAAAAAAATAAATGAAATCAAGAGTTAACTTTTTGAAACGATCAACAAAATTTGACAAACTCTTTGCTAGACTAATGAAGAAAAAGGAGAGAAGATTTAAATAACTAAAGTTAGAAATGAAAGAGGGGACATTACAACAGATTTCACAGAATAAAAAGTATTTTAAGAAACTACTGGGCTCTACAGCTAAGATGCTGAACAACAGCTCAACCTGGAGCTGGGCTGCCATGAGTCGCCGGCGACGGCGTAGGCTGCAGTCCCTGTGGCAGTGGGTTGC